AGGCCGTATCCCGGCAGCGGCGGCTCCGAAGAAGATGTGATAGAGAAAATTACTCAGCAGAAGCGGAGAGATTAGAGCAGGCGCTTCAGAGCATTTATTTTTAAACTGTGGTAAGAAAATTGAGTTCTTCCTTTCCGAGACTCATTTCTTGTCTAGCCATAGCAATTGCAATTAGATGCATTTCAGGGGGCATTAGGCAGTTAATATATTTATCAAATTATTCACGTAATTTAGCATAGCTTTAGCTGGGAACAACTATGCCTTGAGAGGGTAAAATGAGACTTAACTGCTGGTAGCTTTCACCCCCTCAAAATAATTTGGTGGTTTGTAAAAGATTAATACGGTGGAGATTTTGTAGTAGTCTGGAGAAGCAGCATGTTTCGTGCTAGCCGGTCTCCTCCACGGAGCAGGAGCCCTCGGGCGTCTCCTCCTCCCTGCCCCGTCCAGCAGCAGGAGACACCTCTCCTGGCTCCGCCGCTCCTGGAGACTCCAGTGACGGGGACGGACGGCGGTGGGACAGCCTTGCCCACCAGCGCTCCTAGTGCGTGACAGCCTTCCCGTGAGCTTGGCGTCTTCGCCCTCCTCTCTAACCACCCGTCCCCTTACCGAAATTTAACACTGTTGTTCCCTGCCCTGTTCTCAGCCGAGAACAGCGGATTCCCTTTGCTCGGCAGCAAACGTCGCGTGCTCGAGGACTGGGTCCCTCCTCAGCTTCCTCTCTCCTGGGTGGTGGGGAAACTCAGCCGAAACTGAAAACCGAGCTCTTTCAGTCTTTCCTTGCAGATTGTTTTTTCCCAGACTTCTGGTCATTCATCATTTCCTCCTGTGGATTTGCTCTGGTTTGTCCTTATCTTTAGTGAAGTCTGGTGCTCAAAAACCGGATACGGCGCGTCTGCAGGGAGCTTCCCTGTGCTGCACGGAGCAGGAGGATGGCTGCATGGTGCAGCACGCTCCTTGCCCAGCTTTTGGGGTGACAACTGTGGTTTCTTCTTTCTTTTTGCAGCAGGAGCATTGTTTGGTGCTTTTCTGGTCCTTCCACATCCGCTGCGTGCAATAACAGTGCTCTCCTGGCTGCAGTGGAGTCAAATTAAGAGGTGGCCTCCAGCTCTGAGCTCCCTCTGCCCAGCCTTGGTCCTGCTGTTTCCAACCTAACTTTTACGTAAATGCTTTTGATACAAAACATTTTTTTTCCATCTGCTTATTTAACCAGGCGACATTAAGGGAGCTGGGTTAGGGGATATTTCTGCAGGGGGTTATGCTGGCACTCCTGCCTTGCAGGGTACCGGCCAGCGAGGGAGCTGAGGATGGCGGAGCTGGTATTGCTGCAGCCTGGTTCCCGGGGCACCTGTTGCGAGCACAGCACTGTGCAAACATCTGAAAATAAGTCAGGGATGTTACCTGGTGCAGGAGCTCTTTGCAGTCCTGCTTAAGCTCAGCCCCTTGCTCGCTGCAGCTCGGAGTCCCCCAGTGCAAACCGGCTTCGGATGCGCGCTCCTGGCATTCATGCCATGAGGGTCTGTAGCAGACAGTGGCAGAGAGTGTGCGCTAGGTGGGCATGAAAGAAGTGCTGCTGCAGCTTTCCCACGGCAGGACGGGACACTCGTGGCACCCGCGAGCCACCTGCCTTACCCAGGGCATGGGGTTTGCATAGAGGCGCCTTCAGTGTCAGCTTTGTGAGCCAGGGTCGCCGTTTTGACGTTACACAGACATGCTGTGAAGACGTTAGCGCGGACTTTTGCACGCGCTGTTAGTGGAAGTCAGCAGGCTGCTAGGTAATTGCGTGCACACGCGGCTGCTCGGAAATCGAGGGGGACATAATTTCTGTATTCAGCTACGGAGATTGATCTGCGGCAGAGCATGTTTTGATCACGGTGGAGTAAAGGATGACCACGCGTATTAAACTCCTGTAGCCCTGAACATGCTGCCTTGCTCTTGCCCAACCACGAGGCCTGGGCACCCACATGGTCTCCCGTCGCGCTGGGCTCCAGGAGAGCCCAGCAAGGGTGGCTGAAGGGGGAAAGCTGCATGCCCTGCTCAGCTGTATGGGGCAGGAAGGCCGTATCGGTTAAAAGGAAAACCTACCGTCCATTTGCAGTTCTGTTTTGTATGGTGGTGGGTTGTCTTTTTTTTTTTCCCCCCTAATGGGAGGCGCCACCAATGCAGCACATCTGCTCAGAAGGGATCATCTCCATGTGAAAGCTAGAGGCGAGGTGCCCCTTGCTTTCCTCGCAGGGACAAAAGCGGCGTGTTTCCCATCCAGGGGCAGAGCCTGGGCGCGGGAGCAATCCCGACGTGCCCTCGGCACGCACAAGCACCGAGCACGAGGCGCACTGCGCACCGCCTCCGGCTGGGTCTCCGATTTTTCCCTCACATGCCTGCGGACCAGATTTGGCGATGATGGAAAAAGGTGGACAGATGGATCCGTGCCGAATGCAAACGGACAGGGGCGTAATCACCTTAGCGGGATTAAAGTCACTGGGGCTGTGCGCAGCACATGAACGGTGCCTGCAGGAGCCGGGCGCCCGCACTCGAGACCAGGGCTCCTCCCTGCCAGGGCTGCGAGCTCCTGGATCCTGCAGAGAAAAGCGGGGCTGCACGCAGACAACAGCCAGGGCCCGTGGCCTGCTCCTGTGACTGTCCAGGGCTCCTGGCAGCTCTGCCTAGAGAGCAGGCTGGGTGCTTCGTTGCCACCTTGCACAGGGCTGCCGCACACGTGACCGCATGCAGGGTCTCTGCCGACTGGGGGGCAGGAGGGGAGGCAACAACTGCAGGTACCCGAGGACCGGCCACTGTTGAGCCTGGTTTAATCAGTTGGAAATGAAAGCCGTAGTGGTGGCAGGCAGTTTGTGGTGCTGCATCTAAAAAGGTAGGTGAAAAAAAAGCTGGTTTAATGCATGATGGAGCTGAAGGGAGAGCAAAATGTTCCTGTTCCTGGAAGGGGCCGTTGCCCTCCTTAGAGTCAGCTTTGCATCCTCCCCCGTTTTGACAAAGCCTACATCCAAAAGCAAGCTATTTCGCTAAGCCACCTCCTGAGCCGGGCTGCAGCTGCTTGCACCATGTTGTTCTGCAGATGCTCTGGATGATACCAGGTTTGGTGTTAAGCTAGTGACACCTTTTTCCTCAGTTGTGTAGCAGGAAGGCATTTATTGTGCTACTCTGCTGCTGTCCTCAACTTGCCCTATGGCTTCCCTGCCATCCAACACGCTCAGTCCTATTCTTTGACATGAAAAACTCCGGTAGGTGCCCACAGAATAGAAATAATCCTGTTGCCTTTTTCTCTCTCTTTTCTCTCAACTACAACACAAAAAGGGCTCGAATGCCAGAGGCCAAAGCGGCAGAATTCGAGTGATGATATTGAGGTCCTTTCCACCGGGACACCGCTCCAACAAGAGAGCCCTGAGCTGTACCGGAAAGGGACCACTCCATCTGACCTGACTCCCGATGACAGCCCGCTGCAAAGCTTCCCTGCCAGTCCCTCCTCCACCCCGCCATTGGGCCCTTCTTGCAGGAACAAGAGCACGCATTTCTCCAGGCAGGTCTCAGTGGACGAAGAGAGGGGTGGGGAGATCCAGATGTTGCTGGAGGGACGCGGTGGGGACTACTTGCGACCCAACAGCTGGAGTGAAGAGAAAGTCAGTGGGACTCGTGGCGTGAGAAGTGGGACGCTGCGCAGTGGTCAGCTAGGGTCAGCCTCCATCCCCGAAGACTACAGAGGCCGGAGTGGAGGACATAAACACTCGGCCTCCAACCACAAGCAAAGAGAGAGGTGGACAGATTCCCCAGCCACGGTTTCTTGGACTTCCCACCACAGGTCCCACAACCACAGCTCAGGGAGCTCCAAACTGCTTGAGCTAGATGAGGAGAAGATGAGCAATTATGAGATGGAGATGAAGCCCCTCATGAGGATGGATTCTTATATGCAAGAGATTCACACCCAAAAAAGACACTATAGCAAAGGGGGACCCTGCAGGGGCATGGCTGATGACCATCGTGGGGAAGACCGGGGCTTCGGGGTTCAGAGACTGAGGTCTAAGTCCCAGAACAAAGAGAATTTCAGGCCAGCTTCCTCTACCGAGCCTACGGTGCAGAAACTGGAAAACCTGAGATTCGGGGACAAAGCTGAACCTCGGCTACTAAGGTGGGACTTAACCTTCTCCCCGCCACAGAAATCCTTACCTGTTGCACTAGAATCCGAAGAGGACAATGGGGACACACTCAAATCCAGTACGGTAAGTAGGCAAACTTGTGTGTTGAAATCTGGCCAAGAAACCTGATGCAGAACTGTTGTGGTACTGCAGCAGAGTGGAAAGGGAGTTGGCTCTGCTAGCAGAACTGACCCCTGAATTATCCTGTATTTGTGTCTTCCACCCCCCCTACTTCTCCCATGCTATGCTGGAAGTTGATGTGGAGGTTTCTGTGCAGCTTTCAAAAGCTTGCTTTGGCTGCAGACTGTCTTGGTGGGGGCAGCGGGTTTTTCAACAGAGGATGCAAGTAGGGAAGTTTGATTTTGTTTTGCGACCTAGCCCAGGGCCAGCAATAAAAATACATTGGATTGCTGGGTTTTTGAACATGTACCTTGTGGAAAAGCTGCAGGACTAGGCAAGCCTTTGCTGATGCTACCTTATGCTTAGGTTGTAGCAACAGAACTTCCCGCTGGCCCAAGAGTGTGACGTGACTGTCGCAACATCACTGCTTAAATCCCAATAGCTTGCTATTGCATCAGGCTGCAGTGCTCCCCCTTGTTCCACTGCAGTGTTCTGGCACCACCTGTTGACGCCATGGCCTTGTCACAATGTTGTGTTGGAAACCTACCCAGATGGCCAAGGTACCGTGGCCATGGAGCAGGGCACATCTTGGCAAAAGTGCTGCTGATATTCTGGGGAGGGGGTTTGGACTCGGTACGGTTTCACTCCTCTCATTTGTAAGACTTTCTACATGCTGTAGAAAGCTAGGGAAACGTGGTTTAGATGAACTACTATGGCCAGATTGCAGCGCTAACTTGGAAATCGTTCTCAGAGAGAAATGATCAATGGGACAGCACTACACTGGAGTGGGGGAATTGGGTGGCTTTCTGCAGGGGTCCGTCCTGAATCGATCATTGCTCAGGGTTTTCATTAATGATCTGCATGGTGCAATACAGCTCATGTTTATTCACCATGCAGATGCCACCGAGCCAGGAATGGCTACAAGCACTCTGGTGAGGGAGATGTAATGCAAAAGGATCTTGGCAAACTGGAGACAACAGCATGCGATTCAGTAAGGGTACACAGGTAGGAAAAGGAGGCTGTCAAGTGTGTGGAGGACAAGAAGGTGATCAGGAGTAGTCAGCATGGATTCACCAAAGGGAAATCATGCTTAACCAACTTGATAGCCTTCTATGATGGGACAACTGGCTGGGTAGATGAGGGCAGAGCAGTGGATGTTGTCTACCTGGACTTCAGCAAGGCTTTTGACACTGTCTCCCATAATATTCTCATAGGCAAACTCAAGAAGTGCAGGCTGGATGAGTGGATGGTGAGGTGGATTGAGAAGTGGCTGGATGGCCGAGCTCAGAGGGTTGTGGTGAATGGCGCAGAGTCAAGTTGGAGGCCTGTGGCTAGCGGTGTCCCCCAGGGGTCAGTCCTGGGTCCAGTCTTGTTCAACGTATTCCTCAATGACCTGGAGGAAGGGAGAGAGTGCACCCTCAGCAAGTTTGCTGATGATACTAAACTGGG